TGTGGACCCTACACGTTACCTGTGGACCCTACACGTTACCTGTGGACCCTACACGTTACCTGTGGACCCTATACGTTACCTGTGTTATCGTAGTTTACCTACGTATTCTTGATTAGTTTTAGTGCGGCTGTACGCATGCATGTATGCATATCCATTAAAAATGAAACATTTGTTCGCTGCATATAAAGAACGCCTGCTGAACAATAAATCGCAATAAAAGGAAATAACACGTTGATTGACTCGGAATTTTAAATTTAGCAGGCGATGCGGCACCCAGCAGCCGCATTCATGACAACAATACATGAAAGAGAAATACTCGCATCAGGAGAAATATCGCCGTGCGTATAAACCATTGACGCTCAAACGACCGTAGCAAATATCAAACATGCACGTAAAATGGTTCGCATTGTTTTTACCTTTTTGCATAATCAACCCCCCCTCTCTCACTCTAAAAAGAGGAAGAGCAAACAACAACAACGCACGTTTTGCATTTGTGAAGCAAATTTTTGTAATCGATGTACTTAGCAGCAGCAGGGTTCATACATAATCACCCTCCCCCCCAAAAAAAATTCAAAAGAAAACATCAACGCACGTTTTGCATTTTTGAAGCAAATTTTTTTAATCGATGTACTTAGCAGCAGCAGGGTTCATACATAATCACCCTCCCCCCAAAAAAAAATTCAAAAGAAAACATCAACGCACGTTTTGCATTTATGAGAATGCAATAATTTTGAAATGAAAAATGAATTGAAATTATGAATGTTTTGATGACAAAGAAAATTTTGAATCGATGCACTCATTGCACACACTATACGGTATGACCCGTCAAGGTATGACGGTACTTACGCTATTACCTACTAAGCCAGTGGTTCTTAACCTTTTTCGAGTCATGGACACCTTTGAGAATCTGGTGAAAGCTACGGATCCCTCCCCAGAACAATGCACATAAACACATAAACACTAAATCTTTTGCATACAATGGGGTTCACGGACCTCATGAAGCCCATCCACGGACCCCAAAGCTGTCCATGGACTACAGGTTAAGAACCCCTGCACTAAGC